GGCTGATTTTTGGAAAAATATTCGAAAATAGGAAAGTGTATTCAGATGGCTTCAAAAATTTGAACAAAAATACCATAAATCTTTGCCTAAAGAGTCGACTATAGAACTGCATTTTGGTTGCCGGAAGATGCTGATGTCATCACTAGTTTGTTGATGTCAGTGACTGGATCACAATTGGATCTATGTTTTTTTTCCTCCAGTCTTCTGCTATATTGTTTGATGACTATTTGGCTTGGATTGATTACTTTGATTGAGAAACTAAGGAGAGCTAGAGAAAGAGAGATTAATTTGTTGTGTAGGCTATGCTGCTCTACACTTTCTTATTTATGACTGAGTAATGTTTAGGGTAATTACAATATTACCCTGCACTTATTAACTTATGTCTAATGTAGAAAATAAGAACTCTAACAGCAAGGATAATGCTATTGACTGAATCATACAGAGGTGGATAGCAATAAAACTATGATATGGACTATGCTTTGATTACATCATCTAAATATGGTTTTCATTGGTGTATTCTTCCACCTCATCTCTCTCTCTCTCTCTCTCTCTCTCTGTCTCTCTCTGAGTAGCCAGAATTGAACACTCATTTATATTGCCTAAATGACATGCTAACTAGGGGGGACAAGTGTGACCTCTTATTTAAACCCAATTTCATATGGCAAGGTTGACCATTTGGGAAAACAAGTGTAGACTAAAGCAGAAAGGTGCCCTTGACTAAGGAGCAAACTACTCTTGAGAATTGGGCCAAAGGCATCACAAGATCAAGAGGAGTCATCTTGATTCAGACTAGAGCAGGAAGGAAACTAAGTTCATAGGTGCGGAAATCAATCCACTGTCTCGTTGCCTGGGGAATCATTCTCTGTTCCTGGCTTAGTGTTATATATATATATATATATATATATATATATATGTATGTATATTTTTTACTTTATCAAGTCAAGGATATTAGAATATTTGGGATAGTGATTTAATTTGACTAAGCAATTGGGTCTCAATATATGAATATATGGCCTTAAATTTTTTTAAGTTTCTACTTCTGGAGACATAATCAGAGATGGAGAAGATCCTAGTTGCACGTAGATATATCTATGCTCCTTGGATGTGATGAAGAGATCGCTTCCATTTCTTTAGGTAGACTGAAATTTTTAAAGACTCTTGTGTCTGAACCCTATTTTTCGGGAGGTTCTAGCAGAATTGTAGGTGAGGTTCCTTGTAGCTCCTTTTTCCTCTTATTTGTTTTCCTTTTCTTTTTGTAGTTTTCGGAAGCAGAAGTTAAGGTTGTAATCACAACCTGGGTTATCATTTCAACCCCTAATTTCATCACTCTGGACCTTTCTCAACTTTATGGGCTAATCACTTTGGGTAACCTAATGTATAACATTCCAACAACCAATGTAATGGTATTTTAACGCTTAATAGTACAAAATTCAAGCATATGTAGACCTTCCCAATTCAAAGGTTTATTGCATTCCACTACTCATAAAAATACCAGCTGGCAGCATTTTTCTGATTTTTCTGGTGCAGTCTTCCAGTCATGAGCATTTCTCCCAATCTTAACTCTTTTTCATGACTAAGCAACTTTTTAAAACTACCTATATGAACTTAATAGAAACTTCATGAATCCCAATCTAATATATTCTAGTGGTTAAACAGAGTGTTAGATTAGACAAACCTACATCGATAATTCCTAGTGACCTTTCTCTTTTACCATCTAGGGTCAGTGTGCTGGAGGCCAATACCTTTACCAAATGTAGATGATATTTCTGCTTCTCCTTGTCCTTATTATGTGGCTTCTGATTAATATGCTGATTATAAATATGCTTCATATGTGTCTTACTTTCATAAGTGTTTTATGTGGATCACAAAAGAACCCGACATCGGTCCTGAAACATTTTCTAGGTAGTTACCTGTTTATAGTTTTGCACAACTCAAAGGAAAGTTTTGTTTCTGAACATGTAATTTAATGATATTGTATAGTTATTCACCTACATCAACCCACCCTTCATCATGCTGCCATAACCACTCACGTTCCACCAGCACTGTTATTGACATTATGGAGAGAGCATCTTCAGTGCCATTCACCTATAATGACTGTCACCTCTACTTTTGTCACAGACCAACAACTCCTTGCTGACATAACCAACACCAACCTGCTACTGCCAATACTTTCTCTTCAAAAAATCTAGTTAAATACCTGATGTATTATGATTGAAGTGACAGAACTGGGCAGATGACATATTCAGTTTAATTAAATGATCATACTTTTCTGCCTTGATGTTGTATTGCAGGAAAACTAATATGACCACTTTTTTTTCTTTCTTTCTTTCAGTTTATTGTTTTCAACGACTGAAGTAGGAAAGTATTATGTAGTATGTTGCATAATAACTACATATTGCAAGATCTTACCACAATGTACATACTCACATTCATAATGCCTGTACTTGTGAACGTCCAACCCATGTGATCATATTTCTCAGTGATGGTACTCTGTTGTTCTTAGGTTCGCTGCTTATGGAGCGACTAAACGCAGTGTGGTGCATTTAACAAAATCATTGCAGGTAATCTGCTGAACTTTCTTTCTGGAGTTAAATTGTATTAATTCCTTTGCATATATTTTTTATACTGTTTTCTTTTTTCCCTCAAATTTGTTGAGAATTTAATGCGTAATTGGACATGGTTCCATGGTATAACTAGATTCTAATGGAGATGCATATGTTGTTTACCAACTATAATTATAATCAAGAAAACACTTTTATCATTGTTATATTGAAAAAATAAACCAGATTAATCAGTCAAATATTATGTGGCATTCAGCAAATGAGCGATCTGAGCTGGTTTTATATATTGAGAATTATGGAATTGGAAAGCAAGTACAATTCATGAAAGCTCCAAGGCTTAATTTTTCAGGTCTCGAAATTTTCTATTGTAATACTAAGAACTTTAATTGATATTTTTACTTGCAGAATCACTCAAGTTTTAAGCAGACTGTAAAATTGTGTCTGAAAGGAGAACTACTATGCAATCGATGCATTGGTTTTTGCTTCTGAAGAGTAAAGTGGATTTCTATTTTTAACAAAAAGTGGGGTTTCTATTCCTTTTCAATTTTCCATGTTGGAAGAAAATACTTTATCTCAAGCACTTCTAAATAAACTCATCTTGTTCCACATAACATCAGAGGACTGAATACGTTACTTTTTAAACAAATTACTGCACAAACAAAAGCAAGCAATCATGTATCCGAGTCAGCAAGTTGGATGTACTGTATTCCTGCCACTGCTATTGATGTGGATTATAACTGTTTCTGTGAGCCATTAAGCATTGAAGTTCCCAGATAGGTCCTGATAGCTTCGTGAACTTCTTGAGTACCCTTTTGCTGAAGATTAAGCAGGTTTTTGGAAATACAGGAAAGTTAATAAGCTGGCCCAACAATACTTGTTCAGAATTTTATTTTTACTTCACATTTTAACTTCAGTGGCTTTTGTGAAAATATAAAGCACTGAAAAAAGTCCTTACCTTTTTTGATCTAGTAAAATACTGCTGCAATTCTATCAAGCCTCATCCTGCACGTGAACTTATCTGTATACATTTTTTATTTCCATTTTTTGGTTGGAGTTACCTGTGATATCAACTTTTTTTTTTTTTTTTTGGACACAGGCAGAATTGCAGATGCAAGATGTTAAAAATGTTGTCGTGCATAACCTGTCGGTATGTTATTCTTCAACTATTTCTACTTGTGAATTATAAAATTTACACTTTCGTTTGCTTTGAAAAATATAGTGCCATATTAACACCTTTAATGATCTAGAAATTTCTGATTGTACTAGTGCCTAGCAGTATATGGTTCGTGATACCTTAATCTGTTTAAATTGCACATTAAACCGTGGACAGAAGTGTTAGTTTCCTTTTTCATGTGATTGAAATCCTTTAATGGATGTATGCATCTTAACTATAAACAGGAAAATATAACATTAAACTAAAACCCAGAAAGTTAAAAAAAGAAAAGAAAATAATAGCTAATATTTATATGAAAAAAGAAAAATGCTTAAAAATAAACAATAAAATATGCATGTGTCAAGATCATAATTCCTCAAAATGAAGAAGCCCAGAACATGAATTAAAGAAATCCAGCTGGAATTTTTATTATAATATAGAAAATAATTTTTTTTTTAAAAAGATGTGCCATCATTATTTTGGACAAATAAAAAAAATAAAAGTAAAATTTATGAAAAACAAGAAATAAAATACTTCAAAAATTTTTAAAATGCAGGATCTTGTTCAGGCCTACTTGAAATTTGGAACCCCTAAAATACCCATCAGTACTCATCCAAGATCACATGACTCATAACTTTATTTTGGCCAAAAATATAAGAATAATGTGCTATTTTGAAACACAAAAAAAGATAGTATAATACAAAACCATGACGAAACAGATCTGCTTGAAAACCCCACAAACACCTGTAAGTTTTTCATCATCAATCCTAGAGAAATCTGCAAAAATAAAAATGAAAATTCACCTTGGATATTTCCCCTACCTGAACCACCCAATCCCAGCATTCCAAATTTGAAGAAATGTTGCAAAAACTGGCATAGTTCACTGCAGACCAAGAAAATGCTGAAGCAGTGGCTGTCACGGATTGACCATTTAAATGACAGGTAACGGCCGTTGTGGCTGTAACTTTCCATCACAGGTCTGTAACCATAGACACTTTTGTGGAATTGAAATGTCTTATGTTTAAATCCTTGAACCGCACTTAAGATGCTTGTGTGCTCGTGAAACATAGAAATTCTTGATTAAGAAACGCACTCCTCTTGTTGTGGCAAAGTGAAATTCGATATGCTCATCTGCTTTCCTTCATCAGTTGTCTTACCCTTTATGCATCACAATTGGAAGGAAAAGTGATGAATACTAACAAGTTTTGAAAACTAGATCTATATCTCCTCTTTTTTTTCCTCTGTTTGGGGTTCTTTTTTTTTTTTTTTTGGGGGGGGGGGGTGGTGTTTGATACATTTACACACAGCCCAGTGTCCAGATATCTTTAGCTCAACTCAGCATTTTCAGCTGTCTATTGTTTTCATGTACCCAGTGATATGAAGCTCCTGTTATGCCACATGTATCCTCAATTATTGTTCATTTATCTTCATTTTTCACTCCCTTCGGTTGGCAGCCAGGAATGGTAACAACTGATCTACTCATGTCCGGTGCTACCACAAAGCAGGTAGAATTCATGTTGATTTATTTCATATTCTCTATTCTTCTATGTTGTGATCATGAAAATTAAGCATTTCACCTGTTGCAGGCCAAGTTTTTCATTAATGCCTTGGCAGAACCCGCAGAAGTGGTAAGAAAATTTTGTTTATCTACCTGCGGTAGTGTGCAAGCTGTCTCTTTAATGCCTTGTATTTGAGCATACAAGATTTCTTTGTTCGAAATCATTCAACCTCCATTCATATTAATAACACATTTGATCATCCATGATTAAAGATACTGTCATTTCCAACAGAAAATCAGTTGGTGGCTTGATAAATTGCCAATTATTTTCTAGATGCTTTCAGATGGATGAAATGAAAAGAATTTAAAAAAAGTTGCTTTTGAAGATCATATTTCAAGTACCATCATTTTATCTCTGGTAAAGTACACAAACTAATTTTATAAATAGAGGAAGACTATGCAGTTCATTTATTGGTAAATTCAGGTATATACCACACATAGATAGTAGTTGCTTGTCATGTTCATGTACATAGATCGTTTGGAGATGTTGTAATCTCTCTCTCTCTCATGTACAGGTTGCAGAGTACCTTGTCCCAAGCATCAGATCCATCCCCACAAATGGTTCAACAAAGCCCACTTACATTCGCTTTCTGACGGGATTGAAAGCCTACTCCCACATATTCTCAGTAATGATTTTCAAAAATTAATCCTGTTGTTTTGGCTGTCTTTGTTTATTCAACCCAACATCCTATATTCACTTTTTTTAATTTTGATTTTTATGAAAATAGCAGCCAGATACTAATCCTTCTTTGTTCTTCCAAATACAGAGACTCGCTTTTGGCGCTAGAAGAAACCGATATTTGCTTGAAGATTGAGGATGCTCGAAGATGAACTAATCTTTTAGATGTCATTTTTTTATCACAAATTTTGCTTCAAATGCATCTCTGGGGATTACTTAAAATAAGACCTTCATGTGTAAATGCATGCAATGTTACTGCATTGTAGTTGTACAGTGCCATCGATTGTTGCAAACATTTTCATCTCATCTCTGTTATTATCTCGTGACAAATTATTTGGAGTCGAAATGGAGAAAACACTCCACAACCTTAGCATGTGGACATACAAACGTTACACCACTATAATAACATGAATCAACATAAAAATTAGAGAACTAAAATTAAATTAATTAATCAACTTTCTATGCTTGGTTGGTGTTGGGTTTGTGGGTGTGGGTTAACATTTTGGATGGAGGCGGCTACCGGAGGGTGCTTCGGTGATGGGGTAGGTTGGTGGTTAGTGGTGGTGTGTTGGTGGTTTTGGTTTGGAGGTCGGTGGTGATAAGGTTTGTGATAGTTGTGTGTGGGTGCGTGAAGAGAAGAAGTGCAGTGGTGGTGGGAAGTGGTCAGGGCCAGTTCATAACCATTGAAGCCACCACTTTAGACCCGAAACATTAGGGTCATATTTTATAGAGGTTTAAATTTTAATTAAATCTAATGTTTATATAAAATTTTTAGATACATATTCAATTAAGTTAAATTTTATTTTAGTACTACAAAATAAATAAAATTTAGTGTTTTTTAAATTTGATTCGACTTTATGGCGAATTTGTTTATGTTGCTAATGACAGCATAAACACAATTCGAGTCTATGATATTTAGCTTAAGTTTTATCATTTATAATTTTTGTTTCTTTCATTGATTATATTAACATTAAATCTAATAAAATTCTATTTTATCATTATATCAAGTATCACACTTTGTTCGAATTAACTATAAAAAAATTTTGAATACAAGAATTTAATGAACACTGTTGTATCTCAAAAGACAATAATATAAATAATATTATAAAATGGTTAATTAAATTATAATTTTTTTTAAAAAAATTAGTATAAGCTCATTTATTTATTTACTTTAAGCCTCATTTTGTGTCGGGCCGCCCATGTTGTGGTTTATGATGATTATGTTTGTGGCAGGTTGGAGGAAGAAGGGGAGTTTGGTTAGGATGTAGGTTTGTTTAAAAAAATACTAAATGAGCCGAACTTGAATAATTTTTTAAGCTCGTTTAGAAAAAACAAGTTTGTCAGGCTCGGACTCAACCTCATAAAATTCAACTCGATTAGCACCTTACTCAGAAGTGTCCTATTTTTCAATTGGGCATATTATAATCGACTTCAAGATCAAACGAGGTATATTAAAGTTTACAATTTTTATAATTCACAATACATGTGTTTTGTGGCCTATTTACAAGCAAAAAAAAAAAAGATTGATCTTAAAATGTTAAAATCGGTTCTAAAAAAATTATAATTTTTGAGATTGTTTTACAATTTTTATGGTTCAAGTTATAACTTTTTGTTAGTTTGCAATCAATGTTAATATGTTAGAATTGATCGCAAATCTCAAAAGTTGTAAAAAACCCAAAAAAACATGCAAAAAAAACATAAAAAGTATGTACTATATCTTAAAAACTTTGTGATAGTACGATACCAAAATTTTTGGTACCATAGCATTCTCTTATAATCAAAGTAACAATAGCCATTTGTTATCATTAATGTGTATTACGTATTAACACAAACTAGGCAATGTTCCTCCTGCTGTTGCTGTTGCTGTGAGCTGCCATTACCATAGGCAAGTTTGGATGCCCCCTTCAAGTAATTCACTGTAAACGGTGTTTCTTTGATTGTCTTTATAGCAGTTAAGTCATTTACAGCACTAAATAGAGCAATTAAGAGAAAATGTATGCCATCTCGCACATGATGTTGGTGTTCACCTTCTATAATCAAAAATGCTATGTGAATCAATAGGTGCATTCAAATTCAAGACATGGCCAAACGGCCAATTAGCAACTTAAACCTAGCATTTAAAACCAACCATGGTTTTCTTAAAATTTCATAAAATTCTGGATTGCTCTGACCAGTTTTCTTGTTTATATTTTCTTGGCTCGGAACTTTTGGATCGGTTTAAGTTTATAAGAGAGGCAAAAAAGAACAACAATCATTCATATTTCTACTTCAACTAATGTATTCTCAATTGCGTTTCAAGTTAAAAATATACCTGAAAAGTACAAACTTATAAATACCAAAACCATAACAATGAGTGTATATGGCCTTCCATCAATAGCAGCTGAGATCGACCTGCAGAAACACCAACCATGAAACAATAAACCTTTAAGTTGTAACTAATCAAATTTATTTTCACAAAACAAGACTGGCCAATCATCAGAATAAAGAGACAACACAACGTTTCGGGCCATTGCGTGTTTCTATGGATGCATTCCAGTTTGCTATCCAAAGCATTTGAATGCAGAAATATAGAGGACAAATCAAAATTCCTGGAGGATTTTGATTAGTAAATTAATAGTGATGGTTCTTCTTGATACTAATGGGCCTGTGGTCCAATGGAACTCTTTGACTTGTAAAAGTTTTACCTTCTTGAGGTCAAGGGTTCAAGTCCCCTTCCCCCTTTCCCTTCCCAAAAAAAAAATATTACTTCCTGATAAAAAACCAGTGTTGATGGTTTATGAATTATTGAAGAGTGAATTATATCATTTTTTTTCTTGACATATTACATCAAATGCAGTGAAGAACAATCAGGACCCCTATCAAATTCTTTCATAGGGGTGGCCAGATACCTACTATGTATGACTACAGTAACAGCAAGTGAAAATAGCAAAATGATTAACATAATAAATGACAAAAGCTTGGTAAAAGCACCAATATGATTTTGAGAGATGTAAACAATCATCTACTATTAGGAACTTCTTTGAGAGATGATTTTTTACCTTGCTACCACTGCCTGAGTTGTGAGCCCAAATCCAAACGGCAAGAGTGGATCATAGTGCGAATCACCAACATTCATTGGGAGTTGATCGACAGTTTTGAACCAAGTTCGAGGAAGTTTTCCACTGAACCCATAGTCCCCAAAGAGGACATCAGTCAAACCTTGGCCTTCAGTACCGGGTAACCAGGCTGCCACAAGAGCATCAATTGAGGAGATATATGGTTCAATCACAATAGGCCGACCAGATATGATGACAACAACACACTTGACAGCACTGCAGACATTGTTGATGACACTGGGGCCAGGATCAGCCATTGTGAGAGTTGGGCTGTCCCCCGCACTTTCCGTGTAAGGGTGCTCACCAACAACAACAATGGCATAATTGAAGTTGTTGGACTGGAGGTATTCACCATCAGGGTTTTCAAGGTAGACAACCTCCGTGTGTTTGTCGACTGTCGACATGATGGCATTAAGGATGGTGGTTCCTGTTCAAGAAATGAAGCGCTCTCAATTAAAATCAGTTGCTACTATAGAGTTCAATAAAATTATTTTATCCAGGATTTACCTGTTTTCAGGCTAATTTAGCAAAGAAGTCGAAATTAGAATGCAACGAACAAATTGATATAAAAAAGATGAATATTTTGTCAGGAAAAGACCATGGAAGTACAACTGATTTAATCCATAGAAATGGGGATATGGAAAACCATCTTGAATTATGCCCATTTCTTTCTTTAAGAGATGCAACACAACAAAACTGAATATACTTTACATTCCAAAAAATTAACTAAGATCCTTAGGATTGCAATGTATAAATAAGTCAGTTTGATCCATGTTAAAAAAAAAAAAAAAAAAGAGGCTCCTCCTTTTTCATAGCTAACATGTGCGACTTTCGTGCTAATGCACTTTGTCATCCAATCTCAGATTTATTCAAATTTATTACACACATATTGAAACTTGAACAGAACATTAAACCACTTAAGGGTGAACGTACCACGTGTGCCATTATTGCCACTAAATCCCTGCCAAGTGATAGTCCACCCACCACATTGATAACCCAAGTTATCAGCATGGCTACCAGCAAGTAAAATTTTGGGCACCTTCTTCGGAAGGGGTAGCAATGGATCATCTCCATGTTTCCCATTCTTCAGCAGTACAAGCGATTTCCTCACGGCTTCTCTGGCCACGTTTCTGTGTGCCTGTTTAACAAATAGGACTACCAACTGTTCATATCAACAAATTTTTCAACATGAAAAATTCTAAACCTTTGGAAGAGTATAGAAAGTATAATCAGACAGAAGAACCCATGGAACTGAGAAGATACTAAGTGGCTTTAGAGAATTCTGAGGGAAATAAAAAGAGCTATATCAAGTAGGGTGTTTTATACCTAGATGATTGCTGTGCAATATGAGTTTCAACCATTCATGGTAACTGATATTTCAACATGCAAAATTCAAAACCATTTGAAGGGAATAGAAATTATAATAATACATAAGAGCCCACGGAACTGAGAAGATACTAAGTGGCTTTACACAATTCCGAGGGACATAAAAAAGAGCTATATCAAGTATGGAATTTTATACATAAATATTTGTTGTCCCTTGTATATTTTCAATCCAAAATACTTGAAGCCCAACTCATTAGTTGAATGACCAGTTTTTTTTTTTTTTTTATCTGAAGTTGAATGACCAGTTCAAAAGTTGGGAAACTTGGAGTTTACTTATGGAATGACTTTCTGACTTACCTGGCTACCAAGCTCATCGACTAGACTGAGATCAGCAAGAGGGTTCTCAAACAGTCCCAACGTAAACTTAACTAGTAGAATCCTCCCCACGGCATCATCAATACGATCCATCTGGATAAAATTGTTCTTGATAAGGTAAGTGAGATCTTCAATGAACTCAGTATGGTTGTACGGTATCATGACCTGTAAAAGGCCTATGTGATGAATCCTGAGTATTCAATCATGAAAATAGTTCTCTTCTTCAGTTCAATCTTGTATTAGCATTTGTATATAGGGAGAGCCACTAACCATGTCGATGCCGGCTAGGATACTAGCCTGGACAGAGTAAGTGTAGTTGGAATGAGGTGGAGAGGTAATTCTGTCAAGCCCCTCCCAATCTGAAATAACAAAACCCTGAAAACACATTCAAAACAATTATTGAAGAACCCTAAGATACTTCAGTTGACGCATGAGAGAATCAAATGTGCAAGCTACAGAGCAACTAAAGTTCTATATAATATCTGTATCTTCTTAATAGGGTTTACCAACATGAGTTTTAACACCATTTCTATTCTCTAATAGGTTTTCCAGATAACTTTGTGGTTCACTCTGCACACACATATCACTACAGACATGTACGATGTTCCCTTAACTTGAATGCTTATATAAACGCTCTAGTGCTCTACACACATCTCAATGTAGAATTTACCATCTTGAAGGGTTCATATGGAAAAATGGCAGCCATCTCAAAATGATGACTTATATTCTGACCAAACTATCTCAAGAACTTTCAAAAAATTTCAAAAGCAATGAAAAAGGTAAAATTCTTCATTTTTGTAATCGGACACATTTTAGGTGATGGGTTCTGTTGCAAATACCAAAGGAAGTGGAACTAGACCATTCAAATGTCAGAGGAAATCCAATCACAGAACATTACAACATGTTAAGTGTAGAGGATTAACATAATATTAGAGAGAAAACAGAGAGATTAAAAACTTAACATAACTCTCATACATCACTTGTTTATAGTTAACTCAGAATAATAAGAATTACACATACGCCCTCTTACTATTAACAATTTACACATATTACCCTAATATTCTTAACACTCCCCCTCAAGCTGGACTATATATATCATATAATTCAAGCTTGGAATAAATTGTTGTAAGACGTGTACGACTCAATACTTTGGTAAACATATCTGCAAGCTGATCTTCAAATTTTACAAATGAAATTGTAATCTCCCCAGCTACTATCTTGTCCCGAATAAATTGACAATCAACCTCAATATGTTTAGTTCTCTCGTGAAACACCAGATTGACGGTAATATAAATAGCTGTCTGGTTATCACAGAACAACTGTAAAGAAAGCTGAACTAAAAAACCCAATTTCCATAAGGAAATGTAGTAGCCAAGTCAACTCACTCGTCGTATGCGCAATTGCTCTATACTCAGCCTCAGCATTGGATCTTGCTACCACGGATTGTTTCTTACTTTTCCATGAGACAACGTTACCTCCTAAGAAAGTACAATAACCAGTGGTTGATATCTGATCAAAAGAAGACCAAGCCCAATCAGCATCTGAGAAACCTTCCATTGTAAGATGTCCATTAGCTCGATATAATAGTCTAAGTCTAGGAGCTCGTTTGAGATATCGCAGAATACGAGTAACTGCCTCCTAATGTGGTACTCTAAGACACCCTATGAACTGACTTACTATACTGACAGCATAAGAAATATCCAATCTAATAATAGTGAGATAATTAAGCTTCCCAACCAATCTGCGATACCAACCTGAATTCTCAAACAGTGCATCATCAGCTATTAATAGTTTCTGATTCGAATCCATAGGAACATCAATCGGTCTGTCACCCAGCAAACCTGCTTCCTTTAGCATGTCAAGCACATATTTCCTCAGCGACAAACAAATACCCTGTTTAGATTGAGCCACTTCAATTTTCAAGAAATACCTAAATTTTTTCAAATCCTTAGTATGAAATCGATCTTGCAAGATGATTTTTAACTTGAAAATCCCTTCAAAATCATTTCCAGTGATCACAATATCATCTACATAGACCATCAATAGAACACATCCAGCATCTGTCTGTCTATGAAACACAAAATGGTCTGTCTGACAACGAAGAAGACCAAACTCTAAAACTGCATCTAAAAACTTACCAAACCATGTCTTTGATGATTGCTTCAAACCATACAAAGATTTTTTTAACCGACATACATTCTTACTATACTCCCCCAGAGCAGTAAACCCAGGTGTCTACTCCATGTATACCTTTTCAACCAAATCACCATGTAGGAAGGCATTCTTGACGTCTAACTGAAACAAGGGCTAATCAAAATTAGTAGCTAAAAAAATCAAGATATTAACAGAGAAAATTTTAGCAACAGGAGAGAAAGTCTCCTCATAATCAACACCATAGGTCTGAGTAAAGTCCTTTGCAACAAGTCGGGCTTTGAGACGCTCCACAGAACCATCCGGATAAAATTTAACAGGATACACCCAACGATAACCAACAGTTCGTTTACCAGGAGGTAAAGGAACGAGATCCCAAGTCTCATTATAATGTAAAGCATCCATCTCATCCTCCATAGCTTTACTCTAATCTGGATCAGATAATACATCCTGTAAATACTTAGGAATAGATATAATAGATAATTGAGAGGTAAAACAAAAGAAGACAGGACGACGAGAAACAAAATGAGCAATGGGATGATTAGTAACACACGAACGAGTACCTTTTCGAAGAGTAATAGATAAAGAGTCTAAATTACCTAATGGACCAGGATTAGAAGGCGGCAAGGAAGACGGTACAGGCATCTCAGTCGATGGTCGAGGGCGACGAGAATATACACGAAGAGGTAAAGCAAATGGTAACACAGTGGGCAACAGAATATCTGAAGATAAGGGAAGAGATGGTGGGATACGAAATGACCCAAAGTCCAGATCCAAAGGCTGAAAAGGTGCTGAAAAATATAGAACAGATTCCTCAAATGTAACATTGGCACTAGTAAAGTATAGTCACAAAGAAGGACTGTAGCAATGATACCCCTACTGTGTGCGGGAATAACCAAGAAATACACATTTGGTAGCTCGAGGGTCAAGTTTATCAAACCTAGGACCTAAATTGTGAACATAATTGACACATCCAAAAACCTTAGGAGTTAGGGAAAATAAGGACTTACCAGGAAAAAGGACGGAATATGGACTTTGCCCATTTAACACAGAGGATGACATACGATTAATAAGGTGACAAGCAATAAGAATAGCATCACTCCAAAAATATCAAAAAATATTCATCTGAAATAACAGGGCACGGGTGACTTCCAACAAATGACGGTTCTTGCATTCAACAACACTGTTCTGAGGAGATGTGTAAGCATAAGAAGTCTGATGAATAATGTCAGTTTTACTAAAATAAGCTGAAAAAGGATCAAATTCATATTCTTGAGCATTATCAGAATGTAAAATACGTATACGACAACCATCCTGAATTTTTATTTCCTTACGAAAAGTCTCAAATATAGAGAATAATTCAGACTTAGCTTTCATCAAAAACAACCAAGTCACATGAGAATAGTCATCTACAAATGACACAAAATAAAAATATTTATTAGATAAAATATTCTTTATTGGACTTCATACATCAGAATGTACTAACTCAAATGGACTAGATATACGATTATTAACTCTAAACTGAAATGACACACGGTGATGCTTACTAAGTTGACAAGCTTCACAAGACAAAGATGACACAGAACTAAGACTGGGAACTTGACGCTTTAGATTTTGGAGAGAGAGATGTCCAAGACGACAATGCCATTGAAAGGAAAATAATGAGGTCTGTAGAACCCGAGTAGGTGAATCAAAATCAAAGTAATATAGGCCACCAGCTTCATGCCCCGTACCAATCTTCCTCTTCGTTTTGAGATGTTGAAAGACACAATCAGAGAGATAAAATGTTACAGAACAATTGAGAGAACGGATAATTTTGCTAATAGAAAGTAAACTAAAAAGAACCTGAGGAACAAATAATACGGAAGATACGGACATATCAGGACTTAAGTCAGTAGTCCCCAAACCTGAAACTTTAGCACAAATACCATTAGCAAGAGTAATACTACGTGTGGAAATAGCAGACTGATAAGTAAAAAAAACATCAGACACACCAGTCATGTGATCAGAAGCGCAAGAGTCTATAATCCAGGGACTGCGAGTAAAAAACAATAAACAAGTAGAAGCATTACCTAATTGGCCAAAAGTAGCAGTGGAGGGAGATGGAACAACTTGCTGGGATAAGAACTGAACATACTCCTCTCGTGTAATAGTAACCAGCCTAGTGTCTGGCAGAGCTGACCAAGGTATGGAAGCAACAACATCTTGCTTGGGTTCCATCGTGCAGCAAATAAAAAATAAGAAGTGCTAGAATGCTAAACTGGAGGAAAGGAGGTTGCTAGAAGGCTGAACCAACCTAGAAAACCATTGAACCGGACTGGTTTAGCCCAAAGAAGGCTGCTGGAAGGCTGAACCAGCCTAGAGAACTGCTGAACCAGACTGATTTAGCCCTCTGGATCACTAAACTAGCCTTGCTAAGCCTACTGGAAGCCTGAACCGGACTGGTTTAGCCCTCTGGACCACTGAACCAGCCTTGCTGAGGCTACTGGAAGTCTGAACCGGACCGGTTTAGCCCTCTGGACCGCTGAACCGGAGTAAAAATAGAAGAAACCGGTCTGAGCCGGTGCAAAACTGCCTAAACAGACTTAGAATGGATCAAACCGGGGTTGAACTGGTCTAGTCAGGGTTTGGACCGGGTTTGAACTAGATCCAGTTTGGTTTGGACCCGGTTTGGTTTGGACCTTGGGCTGGACCAGGTCTGAAGTGGGCTAAACCAGTGTTTTAAAAAGCGCGCCTAGGCGAGGAACGAGGCGAAGGTATCTCGCCTAGAAGACCCCAGGCGAAGCAAATGTGGCCGAAGCGAGAAAAAAGTGAGAAAAGCGAGCGCCTTAATGGTTCTAGGCGATTTTTTTTTATTTTGATTATGGGTCGTTGATTGGGCAATTGGAAAAAAAATTTTAAGACGTTAATACACCGAATTATTCCCTTATCCCATAAATACAACCCCAAACCTAATTTTTTCTCAGATTGCCCTCGCTGAAGCTCTGATTGGCTTCGCTGCTACATGATCGCTGCTCCTTACACGATCGCTGGTCTGGAGGTGGACAGAGACGATCACAGGTTAGTCTCTTCTTCTTCTTCTCTCTTCTATTTTTCTATTTTTCTTCTCTCTTCTCTCTTTTGCTCCTTCCTCACCGATTTTGCTCTTTTATTTTTTTTATTCTACTCTGATTAGTAGTCTCTTTTATTTTTTAAGCACTGATGACTCTTTTTTTTTTCTGACGATCGCTGGTCTGTTTTTTTTTCCCTGACGATCGCTGGTCTTTTTTTTTTTTTTTTTTTTTCCTGAGAAGCAATGCTCCGAATAAAACACATTCCTTTTTTTTCTTATGTTGCTGTCCGGTCCATATGAAGATCCCACACAAAAGTCATTACAGCTTTTTAAGCACGAATTATAGTTTAACAGTCGATGCCGAATGTACATTGAAATAAGGAAGGTTTTTTTTTTTCTTATTGATATTGATGGAATTAAATGTTTAAAAGAATTATACAAATAGATGAAAACGCAAGACTTAATGCATTTAGTACATGTAAAATTGTACTGAATTAAACGTTTAGTATTTGTTTGAATTTAAATGTTTAAGTTATGACTGTTATTAAAATTTGAGATATTATTAGTATTTGTTTTAATTTAAATGTTTATGGTTTTACTTGAATTTAAATATTTAGTCAAGGATCAAAATGTCGTGTCGACACGTCCGAAACGTTTCGGAATTTCAACACTCCGAAACGAAACAGTAGTTGAATCACAAAATTCCAGTGTTTGGGTCGAAACGGTACTGTTTCGGACCGTTTCGGTCGAAACGGCATTGTTTCGAACCGTTTCGACAAAACAGTGATATATTCGGTTCATTATGAATAATTACATTTAATACCTCATTATAATTACATTTAATACCCACTGTAATTACATTTAATACTCACTATAATTATATTTAATATCCCACTATAATTACATTTAATTCCCACTGCTCTTCTGTCTTTTATAATTTTTTTGTTATAAGAATAAATAATTACACTTAATACCCTACTATAATTATATTTAATACCCATTATAATTATATTTAATACATACTATAATTATATTTAATACCTCACTGTTGTGCAAGTTTTTTGTTTTTTTTTTTTGTTATAAGTATTAACAATTACATTTAATACCCTAATGTAATTATATTTAATACCTACTGTAATTACATTTAATACCCACTGCAATTACATTTAATTTTTAAGTATACATAAGTATCATTAATTTAATTTGATACCCTTCATTATTAGTATTATAATAAAATAGTATTATTAATTGGATTATATTACCGTAATAATATGATTTGGAGTAACTATTGTCATCATATTTATGTCACATATGGAGTTTCTCTAAGTAGCTACCCAGAGCCTACACCGATGTATGAGCCTGCTCGACACTCCACAGGGGAATGGATGTAACCATGTAAGTATGTACTCATTAGCATTTCATGTGTATTATAAGACCTTAATATTATGTAAAAATGTGTTTATTTCATAAAAATTAAGTGTTTGAAACTAATTTAAGTGACTTTCGCCTCAAGTCAAGCCTTTTTTTCCTCAAATTTAAATTTATTCTTGTATAAGTTGATGTTAACCTAATAAATATGTTGAATTAATAAATTATTTAACATATCTTTATAAATTAATGGATTGCATTTGTGTTTCTATGCGTTTCCATATTTTTTCTGCGTTTCCATTGCGTTTCCGAAATGTTTCCGAAACGTTTCTATTTTTGAGTTGACCGAAACGGTACTTCGAAACGAAATTTTGATCCTTGTATTTAGTATATATATAATTAGAACTTAGATTGTTTAGAAGTAATTAAACTAAATTTTTTTTTTTTTAACTTTTCGCTAGCTTCTCGCTTCTCGCCTAGGCGTTAGGAGTCTTGGTCGCTTCGGTTCGCTTTACACCTTAAATAACATTGGGCTGAACCGACCCAACCCGACGGCCTTGTTTGTCTTCTTCATCTGATTAGGGTTTCAGTGAACCCTGGTCTTGACTGCTCCTCACCACCACAACAACCACACCACCACCACGACCCCAACAACCTTGGTCTTCGACTGAGCCTCACCACTACGATGAACGACAGATGACGGCGAACGACCAAGACCACCATAACAGTACCACCACCACGAGCAACAACACCACCACAACAGTACCACCACCACCACAATACTTTGACAAACAACGGCACCACAACCATACCACCACCACAGGACAAGACAACCAACGTTGACCAGCACAACACCACCACCACTAGGAGACCACACCAGTCGAACTTCAACAGTAATCACAGCGACAATAGTCACACAACGGCAAACACTTGAGTTAATATTTGGATTTTAAAATTGTTCTTACTCTGATACCATGTTAAGTATAGAGGATTAACATAATATTAGAGAGAAAACAAAGAGAGGTTAAAAACTTAACCTATCTCTCATACATCACTTGTTTATAGTTAACTCACAATAATAAGAATTACACATACACCCTCTTACTTTTAACAATTTACACATACTACCCTAATCTTTTTAACACAACAAATATTATCTTTTGAAAGAATCAATAACACCTCAAAATCTACAAAGAGAGTACATTTCTCCACGAATCTACTCCCAGAGATTTGTTTTCCTACACATCTTATGCAATGATCAAAATTTTCTTTCCGTATATTATTTCAACCACGCCTAGGAAACATAAATGTTCGGAAAAAAAATGAAAATGAATAAAAAAATTTAGAATTTATTTCCAAAACATTCCAAAATGTTGGTTGAAATAAGACGGATTGCATTTTGCATCCAAAAAAAATTTAAGAATTCCTACTTTGTACCCTCACAAACCAAACTTTCCATATCACATCTTCAATGTATTAACGGATTGAGATGGTTTTTGACGGATGAAGCAACGAAAATTGCCAGAAGGATCACATTACACCACTTTTAATGCATTGAGGGTGCAATATCAAAAATTTAATCTTTGAGAGTGCAAAGTGAAAATTCTTAAATCTTTTGGGGTGCAAAATGTGATTCCCTCGTTGAAATATACCGAAATACCTCAAAACACTCCAAAATAATGATGGATACATATTGAAACACCTCAATACGAAACACCTTTGAACATTGATATTTCAATTCAATCACTAATTCGTTGCGGTCACTTAGGAAACAAAAATATTTCGACCACACCAAAACGAAAATGTTTCGACATTTTGATCCTTGGTCTTATGTAAAAGTGGGTAGCCGTTATTTTCACAGTGCGAGTAACCATAGCTCAAATGCTAAATTAAACTGAAAAATGACAAGCACATACACTGCCATTTAAAGTGTACCTTGAACTTAAGAATGCCCTTGAGAAATCCAGTAATTAGATTGCTGTTGGCATGCATTTTTTCACCATTCCAACTTGAGTAGGAAACCATGATCGTTGAGACACCCTTACTGATCGAGTCAAAGTAGGCAGGCATGTGGATGCTAAGCAATCCGTGCATGTCAATTAGCGTATTGTTCTCATTGACACCCTTGGTTGTCCCACCATCACCCACAAAGTGCTTTGCACAAGCAGCAACGTTGTTCCTGCGTATGCATGCCACACACATACAGGGAATTATAGAGAGCTAAATGAAGGATGAAAATTGGAATACAGGTTCAAGCAAATGTAGCAGTTTGGCCATTCAAAATTATTACATCCAATTATGATCCAAAGATTGGTCTACACTCTACAGAATGACAACTGTGTATGATTTAGAAAATATTAAATTAGGAAACTAAGAGGTCGTTTGGTAACGTTTTTGTCTTTGCGTTTTCAAAAAAAAATAAAAAACAGACAATTTTTATTTTGTTTTATGGTAAACACTGAAAACAGAAAACATGTTTTGAGAGTCATTTTTGATTACCAAATTATGAAAATAAAAATAAAAAACATTTTTGGTAACCACTTGAAGTTATATCCTTAATATTAGCTTTATAACATCTCATTTCTATATTGTCACCATGATACGCTCCATGTTTCCTTTTTTAGTTAGAATCTGTATATATAGACATAGTTTCCTTTTGTATAGAAAGATTTAATAGTTGTAATTTAGGCTTGATTCTAGCCTGATATATTGCACATTTGTGCCTATATAATAAGAGGAAATCCTTACAGAGGAGATATTGAATCCTATTGACATGGTATCAGAGCCAGGTTGCTAAGTTACGAACCCTTCTCATGTGGATTTCGTTTTTTTTTCTGTTCGGTGCCTTTGGGTCACGTTGGGCTCCCTCATCGGCGCTGTCTAGACTCGTCTTTGGGGCTCCTTGGTATTTTCGACACTGTCTGAGTGTCTCTTGGGGCATTTTGGCTCATTCTGGGTGGGTTTTCTTGGTGGCGCACCTTCGAACCTGAGTTTGTCGGTAGTTTCTGGTGCTTGTTGAGTGTGTCGGCAATCTCGGGTGATTCTTTGGTGGTGGTCAATCTTCTCAAGGTAGTTGTCAACGACCCTTGGTTCGGGGACTTCAACTTTTGGGGTGCTGATCTTTGCACGATTCTGGTCAGGTATCATTACCAATTATTTTCTGAAATTGTTTATTTGTTTGAGGTGTCTACTATTTCCGATTGTTCTTGGGCTGGTTATTGGCACTCTCTTTATTGTTTAATTTGGGCCTTTTATTGGCCTTGTTGCTATTTTGCAGTGCAAGTTGGGATTCTTTGTTTAAATTTGGCCATCATGTATTCTGATTCTTTCAATTTCGTTTATTTATTATGGTGGGGTCACATTGATGGGAGTGATCAGGCTCCAACTGATGTTCCTAAACTGGCTCAGTGGCAAACCAAAGATGCTTGGGTGATGACATGGATTTTAGGATCAATGGATCCTCTTATTGTTCTTAATCTGATGCCATATAAGACTGCTAAATCTATGTGGGAATACTTAAAAAAAATATATAATCAAGACAATTCTGCTCGACGTTCTCAATTAGAATACGAGATTTGCTAGTTATACTCAGGGCGATCTCTCCATTCAGGATTATTTTTCTAGATTTAATAATCTCTGGAGAGAATTTACTGACATTATTTATGCCAAGGTACCAGAAGCATCTCTCTCAGTTGTGCAGGAAATTCACACGCAAAGCAAGCGCGATCAGTTTTTAATGAAGTAACGACCTGAATTTGAAGCCACTCGTTCTAATTTGATGAATCGTAATCTCGTGCCATCTTTGGATATCTGTTTTGGGGAGTTACTTCGTGAGGAGCAGCGGCTTGCCACCCAGGCCACTTATCAGCATGACAAAATGATACCCAATGCAGTGGCTTATGCTACTCAAGGAAAAGGCAAGGGACGAGACATGCGAAAAGTTCAATGCTTCAACTGCAAGGAATACGAATATATTGCTACCAACTGTACACGAAAATCTTGTAACTACTGTAAGAAGCTAGGGCATATTATCAAAGAGTGTCCTACTCGTCCCCAGAATCGTCAAGCTAATGCTTATTGCTTATCAAGCTACTGTGGATTATGTTTCTTCTGCTGCTACTAGTGACTCCTCTGCTCTTACTACTGAGAAGGTACAACAAATGATTATTTCCGTATTTTCAGCCTTAGGAATGCAAGGTAACGGTTCCTTTTTCCCTTCATGGATTATTGATTCGGGTGCATCTAATCACATGACTAGTTCTTCTGATTCTCTTAGCAATGTTCGAACTTATACTGGCTCGACACACATTCAAATTGCTAACGGTAGTCAGTTACCTATTCATGCTATGGGGGATGTTGATTCCACTATTAGAGATGTTTTTGTATCTCCTCAGCTTTCTACCAGTCATATTTCAGTTGGGCAATTGGTTGATAATAACTGTGATGTTCGTTTTTCTCGTGATGGTTGTCTTGTGCAGGATCGGGTGTCGGACAAGATACTTGCGAAGGGGCCTAAAGTTGGATGTTTATTTTCTATGCATTTTTTCATTCCTGCTGTTATTTTGTTAGCTTGTAACACTGTGAACAATAAGTGTGAGGTATGGCACAAATGGTTGGGTCATTCTAATTCTATTATTTTATCTCATGTAATAAATTCTGGTTTGTTGGGCAATAAAGATCAATTTTCTTCTCCTCTCTTTTGATTGTTCCACATGCAAATTAGGTAAAAGTAAGTCTGTTTCTTTTCCTTCTCATGGTAGTCATGTTGAACGTTGTTTTGATTTGATTCATAGTGATGTGTGGGGACTTTCCCCTGTTATCTCACATGCATATTATAAATACTTTGTTACATTCATCGATGATTATACAAAGTATACCTGGATCTATTTTCTTCGTGCTAAATCTGAGGTCTTGTTTGTTTTTCAACAATTCACTGCCTATGTTGAGACTCAATTTTCTATTTGCATTAAAATTCTGAGGTCTGATTCAAGTGGTGAATACATGTCTCGTGAGTTTCATGATTTTCTCCAACAAAAAGGCATTGTTTCTCAGCGTTCTTGTCCATATACACCTCAACAAAATGGTGTTGCTGAATGTAAAAATAGACATTTGTTGGATGTTGTTCGTACTCTATTGTTTCAATCATCTGTTCCACCTAAATTCTGGGTTGAAGCATTATCTACGGCGGTTTATTTAATTAATAGATTGCCATCCAATGTATTAAATTTTGAAACTCCTTACTTTCGTCTTTATCATCAGCATCCTAGATATCTTGACATGCATATTTTTGGTTGTGTTTGTTTTGTTCATTTGCCTTCTCATGAACAACATAAGTTATCTGCTCAATCTGTTAGATACGCATTTATGGGTTATAGTACTTCACACAAAGGCTATGTTTGCTATGATCCATGCTCTAACCGATTTCCCATCATGTTGTGTTCTTTGCTCTACTTTGCTCCAATTTTTGTTTCAGCAGAGTGCATATGATTCTTCTTTATTTTTCTGCAAGACATCTCTTGGCATTGTCCTTCTTCTAGTTTATGTTGATGATATTATTATTACTGGAACAGACTCTAGCTTGATCACCCGACTGCAACAGCATCTTCAAGCCTTATTTCATATGAAGGACCTTGGTCCTCTTACATACTTCTTAGGCTTGGAAGTTTATACCGATTCCTCTAGCATTTTTTGAATCAACATAAATATACTCGGGATCTGATTGCATTGGCTGGTCTTCAAGATACTTCTTCTGTGGATACTCCTATGGAAGTAAACACAAAGTATCGTCGGGAAGAGGGTGATCTCCTTTCTGACCCTACTATGTATCGACAGTTAGTAGGGAGCCTGAACTACTTAATCATTACTCGACCTAATATTTCTTTTGCAGTACAGCAAGTTAGTCAGTTCATGCAAGCTCCACGTCATCTCCACTTAGCTGTTGTTCGTCGTATCATTCGATATCTTCGAGGTTCTCCTAGTCGTGGCCTCCTCTTCAGTTTGTGGCTTACAGTGATGCAGATTGGGCAGGTTGCCCTGATACGCGACGATTTGTTACAGTTTGGTGCATGTTTCTTGGTGACTCTTTGATATCTTGGAAGAGTAAGAAACAAGATCGCGTCTCCAAATCTTCCACCGAATCGGAATATCGTGCGATGTCTGTTGCTTATTCTGAGATTCTTTGGCTTCGTGGACTCCTTCCTGAGATTGGTTTTGTTTAGTCGGATCCTACTCTACATGCTGACAACACTAGTGTCATTTAGATTGCTGCCAATCCCATCTTTCATGAACGTACCAAACCCATTGAGGTGGACTGTCATTCAATTCGGGAAGTATTGGACACTCGTATCATTTCTCTTCCTCATATTTCTACTGACCTCCAGATTGCAGATGTGTTTACAAAGGCCATGACGCGACGACGTCATCAGTTTCTTGTGGGCAAATTGATGCTTCTTGACCGACCAGCATCAATTTGAGGGGGGATGTCACCATTATATGCTCCATGTTTCCTTATTTAGTTAGAATTTGTATATATAGACATAGTTTCCTTTTGTATAGAAAGATTTAATAGCTGTAATTTAGGCTTGATTCTAGCCTGATATATTGCACATTTGTGCCTATATAATAAGAGGAAATCCTCAATGAGGAGATATTGAATCCTATCGACATATATAACATATAAATTTCAACCCAACATGAATTTCAAAATTCACTAACTCAGCACACACACACACAATTCTATATAACATATAACCAATTTATTTATTTTTTTAAAAGAGAGCCATGTTATTGATTCACCCAAAAAATTACAAAGAATGAGAAAGCATAATAGCTTTACAACCAAAATTTACAAGAGAAGAATTCTAGAAAAACTCCAAAACAAAACCAGAAAATCCACACCGGCAACATATAGCACAAAAGCTTCCTGAAAAGAAAACCCTTCGGTGTGATAGAATGTGAGCATGATGCACACACCATTAGTTACCCATTGCAGCAACATTAGCTACTAGAACAGAGCATGATACACACACACACACACACACACAGATACACACACATATGCATACGCGCACACACACATAGATGTACACACACATATACCTATGCTCACACTCACAGATCTGGTCCTATACATACGAAAAATATACACCTATATAAATCTGGAGTACTTGAATTCACCAGAGAGACTTCGTTTGCATCGATCTCCACAGCACATGTAGAGATCAAAGATAGCAAAGGAGAGGGGAGCAGAGATCGCCAATTGAATAAGAGATCGCTGATTGATTAGGAGATCGATCGATTGATGGCAAGATCAAGGGTTAGGATTTCAGAAAGGGATGATGTCGGATCCAAGTGAGAGAGAGAGAGTGTGTGAGAGAGAGAGATCGAAATCCAGCAGAGAGGTGCAAAGAGGAGATTTGACGACCGTGGGGAGCACCAGAGAAGACCTTCAGTCTTCGTTGGATGGAGAGAGGTTATGGAGAGAGAGACGATGGAGAGGAACAAGAGAATGGAATGAGTTTAAATAGTTCCACGAAAAAAAGACTATTTTTACTGCTAACAAAGCTCAAAGTTTGGATCTAATTAACTCCCCTAACCCTCGCGCTCGTTGTTTCTGCTCTCCCTTGTTTCCGAGAACATCTTTTTGTTGTTCCTTATTTTTGGGCCTTGTTTCCGAAATAACTTATTTTATATAAAACAAAATCACACGCGAACCAAACGACTCCTAAATATTGGAAGAGCAAAGATTCACCTATTCATTGTGAATTTGGGATGTTCAGAGAAGCAAACAATAATAAAGGAAAGAAAACATCTCATCTACTTGGACCAAAAAATATCATAGCTTTAACGTGATTTGAAAACCCATGGTAATTGACCCATTTTTTTTTATAGTACTCTACTATTAGGCAACGTGTCTCCTCATTGAATAATATTAAAACATTTCACCATAAAAAATCCAAAAGAGAAGAGTATACTATAAATTGCATGCACTTTGACTTTCAAAGAGTACGTACTTTCCAGCGATGTATGGAACTCCTTTACGCGAACCATTTGGAATTTCACCTTGCAAACCCAATATAATGTCCGTCATTTCTTGAACAACCTTGGGATCCTCACTATAACTTTCATAACACCTACCCCATCTTGGATCTCTACAAACCTAGACAAAAGTATCACAGAGTACTTGACACACCTCAGACAGCAAAAAAACTTATTAATCGGTCTGATTATATATAAATATCTCAATTACTCATTTGGCAACACCAAATAAAAATGACTATAAGTGCAAGTTGAGATTATGATTTTTATCGTATGGGTACTTACTGCAATACAAGGAGCAAATGTATAAGGAATCCCGGTAGCTCTGACTTCAACAGCGGTTGCAGCACCAATTCTCCTCAAAAGTTCAGGATCCCTGGTGTGGTAAAGTTTATTAGAAAAGTTCAGGATTAGGTGCAGTGTAATAGACTATGCTTATACTACTTTATGTTTTTTAACAGTATTACAAGTATTACTCTTGTTACAAATCAAGTAGAAAAAGAGCGTTAAGGAGAACAACAAATTCCACAGAAAAAATGAGGTTTATATGAAAATTTCAGCCATGATAATGCAACCAAATTAGGGTAGCCAAAAGACATTATGAACTATGAGGAGTATCAAAAATTTATGCTACATATATGTTAATGAAGGAATGTAGCCATAATAAGAACTTAAGAAGCAATGCTGCTTTAACAGCCTTTTAACTGAACTTATGTTGCTATTTCGCACACAGCCACTGAAGGAGGCAAAAAAGTTTATCTTCTGGATAATCGATATAAAGAATTTATTCTTGAAAGAGCTCATGGAATAATAAACACCATATACCAGATGACAAGCATAAATATGTAAAATTTACATTGTAAAACAAAATCTTCATACAAAGAATCAAGAATTTGCTTGCCTGGTAGCTCCAAGTCCAATATTATGCGGGAATATTGTAGCATTAAAGACATTGTTGTGCCCATGAACAGCATCAATCCCATATATCATTGGAATCCCCAGACGGGTAGATAGTGATCCCTTTTGAAACTCATTAATCATATTAACCCACTCTGCAGCACTAGCCCGTGGTAGTGGTGTACTCCCTCCACCACTTAATATACTTCCTACAAGTGAACCAAACATATTATCAAGCCATTATGTCTTTTTACCTGATTTATCATTTTTATTTTTATGAGACGAAACAGAAACTTTTATTAAATGGTGAAAAATCCCAAAACCCCCATTAGTCACTGACCACAAAAAAAGCCAAAAAGTTGACCTCACCCACAGAAACTCCATATAATCAGATTTATCATTAGAAACTCTATCATTTCTTCCACTCATACTAAACAAAAAATTGTCATAACAATATTCCCAAAGCATGGAAGCATTTTGATTTTTCGCAAAAGAACCAAAGCTTTCTACAAATATAGAAGAACGTCCTTGTGGAATTACCAGGTCCATCCTTATCTCCCCAAGTAAAATTTGCCACCATTTTAATGCAATGGGACAAATGAGAAACTAGAAATGATAGAATACGAAATGACCGTATTATGGAAATGGTAGAACTAGCTCTAATTGAGGATAAGTTGAGAAAGAATACCAATTGTGGAAAAACTATAAATGATAGAATACGAAATGATTGCATTAGAAAAATGGTACAAATAGCTATAATTGAGGATAAGTTAAGAGAGAATAAATTAAGATGGTTCGGTCATGTTCAACGAGGCTGATAAAGGCAACGGTTAAAAAAAGTGATAGAATTTCTATTAATAGTACTAAGAGTAGGGGTAGACCTAAATTAATATTGAACAAAATAATAAAAAAATATATGAAAATATTTAACTTAAATAAACGTATAGCGAATGACCGAAATGAATGGCAAAGATGGACTCATATAACCCCCAAATGATTGAGACATAAGGTTTGGTTTGGTTGGTTGGTTGGTTGGTTGGACAAATGAGAAACAAATAATCAATACTATCACTGTTATTCTTGACAAAATTCTCCCAACATGGAAGTTGAAACTCGAATAATTGAATATTAGGGTTCAGAAAAAGAAAGAGAAGGAGAAGAAAAGAAAATGACAGATATTATAGAACAATATTGTTATTGGGATGTGTGTTACCAACACCCTATCACCAATTTATATTAGATTGATATTGATGACAATTACAATATTAGGAAAGTAGAACATAATAGAAAAATAAAAATAGGAAAGAAAATCTCTAACGATAGGAAAACAACATAATAAGATCAAATCACCAATATTTATCTTATCATGAGCAACTGTCAATGCAAACACCAGTAGCCAACATTTGCAAAATAATCATCATTCGCAAAATTATCATCAACGAGGGTTCAATACTGGAAAAGAGTGGATCATCAAACAAATAATGGAAGAAACATTTGCAAAATAATGATCTAGAAAATCAAGAATCCAAAACTTTTTATCAGAAGGCGACTTTCCAAAGATACCAATTTGAGCAAAGACAATATTGACGAGTGTTCCCCAATTTCCCTCTCATTTAGATTACGAAAGAAATTAAAATTACATCCAAACATTGAATTATAAAAGCAAGCCCAAGATTACTTAGAACATGAGTCGATTTGGTACGTAGGACCGGTAGGGTACGCAATATGCCACTTTTACCAATATGTAGGGGAATAGGATAGACTTAGTGTTGTATTTTGGGTAATAATTCTCCTTAAAACTCTTAGCCAGATAATTTTTAGTATTATACAAAATTACATATAATTACATACAAAAACACATGCAGTCGATTATACTTTGTTGTATGTTTGTGAGAGCTTTACTACTATTTGAAATCATATATGAATATGCATTCATACACACATAATCAATTAGAATTTATTATCTTTATGGCAAGAGTTCCAAAATGAAACTCAGATAAAAAAAACATGTAGCTATTGGTTGTAACTTGTAAATAATAAAGAAAATGAATGCATGTTTGTGTTATGAGAAAATTTCAAATCATGACGAATCAACCTTTAAGTGTAAAGATAATCCAAATAAACAAAAACTAAGGAAAATGATTAGAATTACAATATGGGATTTGGAACTTGAGTGATCTAGGTCATGAATTCACCTTACTTGGGGTCTTACGACCTAAATTATGTGACATCTAGGCTATATGTGGTCTTACCATATTCTTGAGCAAACCAAACTAGCAAACAAAGTATTAAGTATTACAACTCCAAGACAATCTGCAAATATGACGAAATAAAGAATCAAAAGATGATTCCCAAAAGATGATTCATGCACATTGTCTACATTCAACTTAACCTAATGACACTCTTAAAAAAGTAAAGTATCCGTGTCATGCATCGACACTTCTTGTACACGTGTCCGATATTCTTTTATCCCTATCCATAATTAACACCAGTGTTGTGAAAAGCGAGCCTAGGCGAGAAGCGAAACGAGCCTTGGTCGCCTTGAACATCCAAGGCGAAGTGAGGTTAAGTAAAGCGAGGAAAAAGCGAGCTTAGTTGATGAAGCGAGCTTAGTTGATGAAGCGAACGCCTAACTGCAGTTTTTTTATTTTCTCCTCCTCCTTCTTTAAAATTAATCAAACCTTCGCAGAGATGATGTTATATGTGTATATGTATAAAATAAATTGATTGATTCGTATAACAATATCATATGACAATATGTCTTATTATGATTAGATAATGTTGAATGCTTTGTTTTGATTTGAATGCTCTTGTTAATTAATTTGCTATATGCTCTATTTGATTAATCAACTTGTGAGTGCTTTGTTTAGTGGTGATATTAATCAATCACGATGAAAGTCTAACCCATATTTGCTAACTTTACATTTAGATAATATGATTATGTCAAATAATTATTTTTAGAATACAATAATATTTAATATTTAATATCTTGTCTATTTAAAATATGTTGATGTTTACTATTTTGATTGCATTTAAATATTTTATATTTGTAAAGTTAAAACTAAAATATTTAGGAGTAATAAAGTATGAGACTAAATATTTACTTATTTTTTATATTGTTTGTTTTGCTTCAATAAAGCACTCGCTTCGCTTCTCGCTTCTCTCGCCTAGGCTTTCAAGAGACCGACTCGCTTCAATTCGCTTTACGCCTTAAATAACACTAATTAACACATAAAATTTTGGTTTTACACATGTTCAACACTCCTTTATTGACGTGTCTGATGCATCTTAAGGTAGTGTCCACAACTAAAATATAAACATGTGGTGACGTGTAATTAACGAAGCTTACTAACCTTGCAAATGATTGTTGTTTCTAGCTTAAAGGTATTATTGGTAATAAGTTGTCATATATATATACATATATATATATGTATATATTAAAACAGCTCATAGTTTAAATTTTATCCTACTCACATTTTCCCCCTCAAATTTGTATCTGTCATGTGCTCTTCCCCAAAATTCACTCCCTCTCTCCTTCCTCTTATCCAATCGTTAACCCCTGTCTTTTTTTTCCTCAGTCTTTTTTCTCCGTTTGTCCAAACAGAGACCCACCACGATTGAAACCACAACTCTGTTCCTCACCACGATGGAGAGCCACATGAAAGCACAGCTCGGCTCCTCTCTCACTCTTTCTCTCGAGGCATCTCCCTTTTCTTTCTCCCCATCTCTCCTCCATCCCCTATTGGCATGCAGCGACATCGCTAGCCACTGCCGCTCTTCCCCTCAATGGTAACTCCTTTCTCCTTCGTATTTTTTTTCCCCCTCTTTCACTCTCCTCTGTTACGCCATCTCCAGCACCACCACCATCGCCAACGACACAGCAACCACCACCGCACAGCCACAGCCATATCTCTCCTAGGTATCCCTCTTCTCTGCTTCTCTTTCTCTCTTCGCCTCTCACGCACACACGGTATTCTAAAACCCGTCCCCAACCCCCACCCTATGCTTCTCTCTCTCTATCTCTATCTCTCTCTCCCATTCTCCACCACAGTAACCCCACCTTAGAACAACAAACACGGCCACCACCCTCTTTCGGCACATAACGTGTTTGTTGACAAGCCTCAAAAATCAGTCTCTGAGCATCCAAATACACAACCATAGAAGTTCATTCATTCAATATTGTTTTAGGCATTCTAATTGGTTTCCGATCTTCCTTGACGAATGCTTCTACTGTAATCTTTTTTTGTTGACCGATAGAGAAATTATGTGAATTTTTCATTGTTTTTGGGTTATAAATGTTGAATTCTTAACGAACCCGACGAATCCCCTCATTAAGAACAAAATGGTAAGACTATATGTTCTCCATTTTTTGGTTGCCTTGGTTTTTTCCTACTTGTTTCATCTTTACTCTTAACTGTTCATTAGAAGAGTTGTCATTAATTTTCGGAATCGTCATTAGTTTTCGGAATCATCATAGACTGATGTTCTTGCAGTTATTTATTCCTTTGTGTTTATGGAAGATTATGACCAGCGACGGCGCACTGGGAAGCTAGCGATCTCTCTCTAGCTCTGTCCTAGACCAACTAGCGACAGCGAAAGACTACTTCCTCCTCTCCAGCTAGCAATGGTAAGGACGAACAAAGTGGTTTATTGTTTTGCAGTTTTTACTTTCATGGGTTTCTGTGATATTTTTGGGTATTTTGCACACACACAGAGCAGTAGCAGCACAGCACGCACACAGATACACAGCAGCACACACAACATTGGGTGTTTTGTATTGGTTTGATATTTTTGGGTATTTTGTAACTTTTCAATGAATTTTCTCATATTGAGTGTTAATTTGGGTGTTTTCTCATAATGGTTTGATGAGGTATAAATGAGTTTTCTAATAATTTTCTCATAGTTAGGGTTTTGTAGTTGTTAA